AGTTTAGGGGTAGAGGAGAGATAAACTTTAATCTTATTCCTTGCTCCAGCAGGCTTCCTGGCTTCCTCCATCTGCGAGACCCGTCCCTCAAAGTCTCTTCTGTAAGACACTCCAGCCGGTGGTCACACTCTGACGTCAACACGTACAATGCAGGACCAATAGTCAAACACTGTATGTGAAAACATCGAGGTCCCACCCACAACCTGGAGCATCAAAGAGGCGACTACCAACACTGGGACATATATAGAAATAACTAAATTGAGAGGAAGCTTACCCAGAGGACCTCATTCAGGACTTCAGCTTGTATAAGAGCAGCAAGCTTTTTTTTACCTATATGGACATGTCAGGGTCAGTATCACCATCCCCCGGGTATGCCGACAATTAGGGATGCATCGATATATCGGCCGCCGAAACACATCGGCCGAAAATGGCACTTTTGGCATAATGCCGAAAGTGCCATTTTCCTGCCGATACGTCGGCGCATCCCTCCTTTCTTTCCTCCGCGCTGGGCGCTGCTCTGTGTCCCAGCGGGGAGGAGAGAAAGTGGCAGCCGGCCGAGCGCTGCAAGAGGAGAGCGCTGTGAGTGGCCGGCGTGTCTCCTCCCCGCTCAATCTCCTATGACAGATCGCAGAGCGGTGTGGGTGGAGACAGCACGCGTAACAGGAGGCTGAGCTCTCCTCCCTACCCCGCTCGCTCAGCCTCCTGTGACAGTGTGTCAGGATGGAGAGCGGTACAAGCAGTCAGGGATCAGTGATCGCTGAGTGTTTGTACATAATTGAGGACATGGTATGTAGATTATATCCTCAATTATGAATGAATGGGAAGTGATCTACACCACTTCCTGTTCATTCATGATTGTGGTTATAGTAATCATACTCTGTCCTCATGTTATGAATAAACAGGAACACTCAGTATAGAGGATTCCTGTTCATTGATAACAGGGGACACAGAAAACGAGATTGAGGACTCTCTTTTTCTATTTTAAAAGGGAAATATCAGGGGTCTGTTTACCCCCCCTGTGACCCCCAATATTTCCCTGAAGCCCCTAAAAGTAATGTAAAAAATAAAAATATTTAATAAAAAATGAAGAAAAAAAATTAGTTTATAAAAAATAAAATATTTAAAAAATTTAAATAAAAAACATTTTCGGTATCGGTTTCGGCCTGACAATTTTTTTTATTTTCGGTTTCAGTTTTCGTTTGAAAATTTCCATTTCGGTGCACCTCTACCGACAATGAAGGTGTTCGCTGGAAAACAGTTGCAGAGTGACACATGTAAGGTCTGAGGGCACCCACCTTCTGCTGCAGAGCTCTTTCCAGGGACTCCACTTTCATCTGCTCCTTCCTCAGACCCGCCGTCAGAGCTGCACTCTCCGCTCTGGCCTTGGTCCGCACCTGGGCAATCTCCTCACTGGCTCTGCGACAATAAAATCATTGGAAATTCAGCTCTCTGCACCTTTAGCTGTGCCTGCTCCTTCATGCCGACCACTGGGTGCTGCAGACTTGCTGATCAGTTGCTTGATTGCACAGCTTATCAGGGGCACGCACATCTAAAAAGGATGCTGGGGACTTTTCAGTGACTGATGGCAGCCATAAAGATCATGCCCCACACCACACATGATGAAAAGGAAACATGATGGATGGTGAATGATGGATGGTGAATGATATGAATGGTAAATGATTGATGGTGAATGATATGAATGGTAAATGATTGATGGTGAATGATATGAATGGTGAATGATATGAATGGTGAATGATATGAATGGAGAATGATATGAATGGAGAATGATATGAATGATAATGGCAGAGAAAGCGTATCGCTGTGAGGGGCAGGTCAGCGACAGTATGGATCAGGGGGAGAAGGATTGATGAATGATGGAGGTCATATAGATAGGAAAAGAAGGTGCGTTCAAGATGGCTGCTGCAGCTTCAAAAGGGTTATATTGTGAAGATGCAAGTTTGCAGGTAATCAGTTTCAAACACAAATAAGCGGATGGAAATACATAAAAAGATATACAAATGGTGGTGCCCAGGCATTCAGCTATAACCAAATATTGCAGATGTAGTACTAGACTGTACTTCACAATTGCCAAATGTTATATCTGGTCGGTCAGCACTCACTTGTTCAGCTTTTCTTCTGCGTGCATTTTCAGGGCCTGGTACCTCAGCTCCTCCTGCTTCACCCGGGCTAAGTAATCCTGTGCGCATTTCTTCAGGGCCTCTTCATTCTAGAAAGACCATCAACATGGAAAATGCCGTGAAATTATCTGAACAGCGAACTATCCAACTTTAAATTAAAGCAGACCTTCACCCCAAAACTATATTTAAATTCCCTGCAACCCTCCCCCCCCCTCACACATGCTATTTATTAATGCGCTGCTTAACCACCCCCCCATTGGCACTATTCTTGCTTAGGCCAAAAGACTTGCCCTGCTCCCACAGCCTCCTGGGATATCCATGTTATATATCCAAGGAGGCTACAGGAGTAGTGGGCAGAGATGCGCATCAGGGACTGGCTGCCTGAACCCGGAAGAGGCAGCTAGTATTCAATGACTAAGGAGCACCAAGATGGTGTGGGATGGTGTGGGTTATCTCAATAGCAGATCGCAGTGGCACAACACGGAATTGGCCAAGAAAGTGAGTATGTGACTTGAGGACAATGCTCCACACAAGGGAAGTGGGGGGGGAC